GTAAACGTCTAGCGAATTGGTCTAAGTCCTCGTCTAGCTGAGAGTTATTTACATTTGATGGGATAGGACAGAAGTTTAAACCTTTACTTAAAAGAGATTCTTCAGCACGTGTAAGTTCTTTAGATGACAAATTTACAACAATGCTTTCAGTTTTTTGTTTCCGTCTTTTGAATTTTCTTTTTCTAGGGACCTTATGGTTTGTTGTATTGATATCATTCATATCCTGATTTAAATAGACAGTGTGAATTTTATCTCTTTGAAATTTATTCCTTTGTTTTTCTTTATGTTTGGATAGTTCAATTTTTTCAATATCTGCGAGGCGACGTTTAATTATTGGTAAATCGTCACGTGAAATGTTACTGTTGTTGATGATATCTGATATTTCATTTACAATTTGTTTGTAATTTGTGGTTGTAAAAGAAAGTAACAGTTGAAGTAGCTGGATTGAACAGTTAAAAAGAATTTCATTCCAACGGCTCATGAATCTTTTGGATTTATGTCCCGGTGCCTGGGGTCTCACTTTGATGTTTAAACCTTTTGGTACAGTTCTACTTTGAATATATTTTTTTAAGTTTGATAAATGATGTTCAGTTTGTAGTGTCTTTTTAGTTAAAGATCTTAATTTCTTGAAATGCAGTGCGCTATCCATGTTGTAAAGATAGCGATAGATTTGAATGGATTACACAAACATTTGTGAAATGCGTGCTACTGGAGATAATAATATAAGTGCCTATAAATAGCAGCACATGACATACAAATCTATGGGAGTGTGGATTAATCAGTACAGAGATTAATTCAATTACACAAATAAAATTATAGATTGCATAACAATGTAAAAGACGGAAACAAAAAACTGAAAGCATTGTTGTAAATTTGTCATCTAAAGAACTTACACGTGCTGAAGAATCTCTTTTAAGTAAAGGTTTAAACTTCTGTCCTATCCCATCAAATGTAAATAACTTTCAGCTAGACGAGGACTTAGACCAATTCGCTAGACGTTTACGCTTGAAAGATTTTTTCTACAATAGGGGCAAGAAAAACCTTGAAGAAGCTGGATTAACAGATTCAGATACTGACACCAATGAAGAAGTCACGCCCATCCCAAAATTTAAGAAAAAAAGTTCATGGAAACCACCTAAGAGTAAAAATGATAACTTGGAGTCATTCATTAACTACGTGAGGTCTGATATAAAGTCCTGTATAACAAATACAAGAAATTATAATTTATCCAAGTCAGAAAGCATTGCTTTGAAAGCGTTAAAAGATCAAGAGGATATCGTAATAAAACCTGCCGACAAAGGGGCGCTGTGGTTGTCATGAATAAAACAGATTACATAGCAGAGGGAAATCGCCAACTTTCAAACTCGATTTTTTATAAACAATTAACCACAGATCCAACACTAAATACTATTCGAAGGATCAACACCACCCTTCAAGAGATGTTCGACAAAAAGCATATAGACAATGACACCTTTGATTATCTCCGACCTCTTGAGAACGAAGCAAAGGCCGGAAGATTCTACATGTTGCCTAAAATACATAAAACGGGCAATCCAGGTCGACCAATTGTTTCAGCAAATAGTCATCCAACTGAAAAGATATCAGAATTTGTAGACCATCATCTAAGACCTCATGTGAAAGAACTACCCTCTTACATCCAAGATACGACTGATTATCTAAAGAAAATGGAAAGCCTCAATCCTCTACCAAGCAATACTATACTTGCATCCATGGACGTGTCTTCTTTATATACCAACATTCCACAAGACGAAGGAATAGCAGCGTGTGAAGAGGTATGGAACACTCGTAGTGAAAAAAATCCTCCAACTGAGTGCCTTGTTACTCTTCTGAAACTAGTGCTAGAGAACAACAACTTCTCTTTCAATGAAAAACATTATCTCCAGATAGACGGTACTAGTATGGGCACAAAAATGGCCCCGTCATATGCCAACATATTTATGGGCCAACTTGAAAAACGCCTCTTGGCTAGTGCTCCATACCAGCCCTTATCATGGTTCCGATTCATTGACGATATTGATTTCAAATGGACAGATTCACAAGAACATCTTAATGAATTTCTAGGACACTGTAACTCTTTCCACCATTCAATAAAATTTACATATGAATCATCTATGGAGAAAATAAACTTCCTCGACACTACGAGTTACATCAAGAACGGAACCATTATAACGGACCTTCATACCAAACAAACGGACAAACATCAATTCCTTTCTCCTAAAAGTTGCCATCCTAAACACTGCTCCCGTGGCATCCCATTCAGCCAGGCATTGCGAATCAAGAGAATATGCTCTACTGAAAATACGCAAAATGCTAGACTTGGACAACTACGTAAACATCTAGTTGGTCGAGGATACAATAACAACATCATTGATAGCGCATTCGAAAGAGCAAACAAAACTAGTCGCCAAGAACTTCTAGAGTACAAAGATAAGAATAAAGCAGCTAACAGAACACCCCTTGTACTCACTTACCATCCTGATTTTAAAAATGTGTCTTCCATTGTTCAGAAGCATTGGAAAATTATAGAAAATGATTCAAATCTTAAAAAAGTATTTTCCTCACCACCAGTAATGGCCTTCAGAAGACCTAAAAACATCCGTGACAATTTAGTGACCTCTGTATTAGCAAAGCAGCCTACTCCATCTCCCGGTTGCTACAAACAATGTGGTCGAAGGAACTGTTTGTGTTGTAAAGCTGCCAATACAAGCAGTTCTTTCATCAGCTCCGTTACTAAACAAAATTATACCATCTACTCAAATTCCAACTGTAAAACGGAGAACTCAATTTATATCTTAACATGTGACACTTGTGGCATTCAGTATGTGGGAGAAACAATGGACAAATTTAATATTCGGCTCAATAACCATCGTTCATGGTACAAAACCAACAAAAACTGTCCTCTCACAAGACACCTTCGTTCAACGAAACATTCTTTTGATAATGTTACTTTCCAAATCATAGAAGTCAACACCGAGTGGGACACCACGGCGAGAAGGAGAAGAGAAAATTTTTGGATCCACCAACTCCACACTTTAGAACCTGATGGTCTTAACGAAAAAGATGAGAAAAGATACAGGAAAGATAAAGAATAATTTAGTACACAGCATCGTCCTTTTTATCCTGTAATATTGGCCAATGGACGTTGCTAACTTCTACCAATTTTGTAAAAATCTTGCACTTCATCCAAATTATGTATTATTTTCAAGGCAGCTAAATTCAAGTGCAACATATACATTGAGCTGCAAAAGTTTCTTATCATCTACATCCGATTTCACCTGGATAGATGCACGCTTGATAAAGCTATTTAGTCTAGCGAAATATTGCGTTTATTTTCATCATTTTGTAAATATTTTAAAACATTCTTATATTTACATACTAAATAGTGTGTTAAAATTACATTGTTAGGCAATCTATAATTTTATTTGTGTAATTGAATTAATCTCTGTACTGATTAATCCACACTCCCATAGATTTGTATGTCATGTGCTGCTATTTATAGGCACTTATATATATATATATATATATATTACTCTATCAAATGAACAAAAATTATCATGTTCTATACTGGACGAGCCACGTACATTAAAATAAGGGAGAGTTAGAGGGTTGTAATATTGTATCCTGATTTTTGAACAAACAAAATGACCTGCCAGATAATAGAGGATAAACAATTATTCTGAATAGTTCGATACACACTGTTAACAAACGACATGCTTTCATAAGTTAAAATGTTACGAAACAAATAAAAAACACATAGCACCCCCTTTCATAAGGTTAATTTATAATGCAAAACAAAAAAACGTGACTTCTAATTTTTCTTACACAGTAACAATTAATTTGTTTCTTGTTTATGCAATTAGTCATATTTTTTTCGTGAATGAATTTGTGAGTTTTATTAAACATTATACATATAATTAAGCCGTAGGGAGTATTTTAACCTAAACTCTTCAGGAAATTATATAAAACTTCGATGTGATCGGTAAAAATGATACAAAGTCTACAAAGTTTTGCAGAAATAATATTTTTTGCGATATACACTCCAGATAATGCTTATTTTAAGAATTTTCTTGTCGTTTATTATATACTAGCATTAAAATGATAGTATTTGCATATGTGTAACGAGTGAAAGTAAACTAGCCGTAAATTCACACGAAGGATGATAACCAATGTCAGTAACCTCTCGTGCAGATAACCCGTAACTGTTACTTCCGGTATTTCCGGTGTCGTCTGTTTACAAATAATATCTGACACATAAAAACATGACACAGTGTGATCTGTATATTAATGTTATAACTTTGCTAATTGAGCGGTTAAATTGCATTGATCGCGTATGCATATGCGATATTCAGCCATTTACCGTATATCACGTGGAAATGACTTTGACAATGTGCTTCCGTAAATTTCAATTATGACGACAATACAGAATACAGGTTCCCGAAATTTTTACATTGTCTGCTTCAAATTGAAAAATTATGGTTATTACCCCCATATAATGTATGTTGGTACAATTGTAAGACTTGCAATATATAAAGAATAACCATAAATTGTCTCAAATTGTAAATTTTATATATTCTCTGCACAAAAGGATCAATGCAAAATATTTGTCTCATATTAAAACAATTTGTCGGAAGTATATCATAGAACTAACGTATCGGTCTGATATGGTGGTCTCAGGTTTATACCTGAGTCGATATGAAAATGGCAATGTATCAGTTAATATATAACACACCTTTGGGTGTCAGTATTTTCTAAAGAAAGACGGTCTTTCATTTGATCAATCCTGACATCTCTCGGTGTGTTATTTAACCGGACCATCATTAGAAGATGCATAATACAAAGGAAAATTTCATTTTTGGCTGTTTTTGTTACTTCTTAATATTCAAAATCCACAGATCACTTAAACATGTAATCAAATACCCCATTCCTTTTATGAATAATCAATAGTGCAATCTAATTACTTTGTTATGCAATTTTCGTAGGAAAACTTCGGCTGGCTATTAACAAAACATCATACGTTACAGAATTTGGAAGTTCTGTCTCACTCAATTGCCAAATTTTTGAAGATAAACAATTCCCTACTGTACACGTGATTTGGAATATATATACTAACGGAAAGATCGCAGAAAAGAATGTGCAACAGGAGAGTCCTTCATTGGACATTACATCCGCTACATTTGAAAATACTGGCAATTATACTTGCTCTGCCAAAGATAGTCAAACATACGTTACCAGTCAACCTATCAAACTTACTGTAATAGGAGGTAAGTATTATCATTATGAACAAGATAATTTTTAGAAATAACTGATTATTGTTCTTTTTAGTTGGGTTATGATTATGATGATAAATGAGTCTGCTTAATGTAAATATGCTTTGATATTATATATTTTTTTTGTTAAGCCAATACAAGATGTTAAATTCATTCTTACCAATTACCAAATTTTCCAATACAAATATATGCAGATTACATTTGAATATTAAATTGAGTATATTACAGAGACTACGCAATGAATTTTAGAAGAGGAATAAAGTGTTACAAATGTAGGCAATGATTTGCTATTTTTGTTCACCTTATGACCTTTATTAAACGCGATTAAAATTACTAAAGCTGAACATCATTCGGTTTGAACTTATTTCCACACGACATCCTCTAATATCCATCTGCAACGAGAACAAATTGATAATTGTTTGACAAATATCACTTTGATATCGATTTTTTATCATTAAATTATATAAAGACATTTTAATAAATACAGATCGTTCGCAATAAAGAGTACTAAAGCGTACAATATATTTATTCAGATATTGAATTTACAATGGTATGAATTGATGAGATGTATTAAAATATGATCACATGATCATGAGGCCTGGGTGGCCGAGTGGTATAAGTAGTCTACTACTAAGATAACTACTGTATCGGTAGCCTGCCAACGACAATGTTGTGATTTCGAATCCAGAACGTGAAAGGTGCGTTTTATTTCAATCTTAATTGACTAGAATTTTTCAGTTTTTCAACCTGAGGTTGGCGGTTATCCCCGAGCACTTCAACTTCTTCCACTTATCAAAATTAACCACAATTGCGCAATAGTGGTGAGAGTTGCGTTAGATACCAACCAATATATGATCACAGGCCATATATCATTGTAAACTGTTGATGAATTTCCACATACTAATAATGATACTTTATTGATTTTTACAGCTATTCCGACCGTTAAAATTGCACGAAAGTCTTACAAAATTCATCGTGGACAAAATGTAACTATTGAGTGCAACATTACTTCCACTCCTAACCACACCGATGTGTACTGGCTGAAGACATCTAATGGTTTATCATCAAAAGTAAAAACTCATACACAACGAGTTCATGGTGGAACAGTTGCTGTTCCTTCATTGACAATTTTGAATACAGGTACAAACGATTCAAGATTGTACACCTGTTACGCGCAAAATATTGTTGGCACTGGAAGTAGCGAATATACAAATTTGACAGTCGTTGGAAGTAAGATATTTGCATCTAGACTTTTCTTTGCTAAATATTAAAAGATACATTACATTTTCAAACCTTTGTCGCCTTGAATCCCCTTCAAACATATTTGTCTTGAAAAATAACATTCATATGACTGTTTTCTTTCTGTATATAATTGAGCATAATAGGGCAAACGGGAATGTACCAAGAGAAAGAGTTCATAGGCAACACATGAAGGTTTTAACATTATCGGAAATACCTTTAAGTCAACATTAAGATATATGGAATGGGAGTAATTACGCATTCTTCAATTAGACATTGAGCTTCTTGACGAAACGAGCTTCTCGACAAGTGACATCCGTCTGGTAACTTCTATACAATATGTAAACAACTAATATTAAGTGATTAGCATCACACAATAGTTTATTAATCAATGATTCTTATTGCACCGTAAGACATCACCAAATTCATAAACCATCGGTCATGTAAATTGTAAAACCCTGAATCTTGACCAAATGTAAGTTTTTGAAATTGAAACAGGTGTTTTACCTTACAAAGAATAGACTGATTACTACCAGTATAAACAACACAGATTTTATAAAAATAGAAAAAGTAAAAAGAACAACAACTTAAGTAAGAGCAACATGAAACATTTTCCACGCTACTAGAAGAGTTAGCGGGTTCCGCTCCACATCTGGCTTATTTCATTCAATGAGTAAAATTTAGTAGACGCCACTTTTGATATATAGAATGCTGCTTTGTTCAGCGCTCTACCCCTGATCTTGAACAGTTGTATAACAACATATGTTTAAATCAGTTGGAAAATACGTGGCTCGTCATATCGGCAAAACGCACAAATCATCAAATAAAACAAATACAAGGTGGCGATCTATGAGTAGCTAAATTTATTTCACTGTTTGGCCTTAAAGACATTGTTACTGAATTGATGAACACCAATATTTTCTCAAAGAAACAGGTCAAATGCCCCAATCCGACAAAAAGAAACATAATGGGGGTCTCGATTACACGGGAACAATTTTCTTCAAACTAGTCATTTCGCATCTTAAAGACCACCACAAATAATTAAAAAGACCATCACAATTAAAAACAACGAACACCATTAATTTTCAGCGTTACAATCGCACTTCAGCGCCCCAATCGTACCTGCGAGTCCTACATATATTTACGTGTTCAGTTAGTTTAAGTAAGTATTTTGTTCCATCAATATTCTTGAAATGATTTGAAATCTGATGAAAGGATTATCTTAAAGGAGAGCAAGCAAATTGTACAAATATAAAAAAAAACTTTTCAATTTAGGCTTTCCGGTTGTATCAGTGGGTGATCGAACTGTTACGGCTGAGTATGGTCATGGCATTATTTTAGAGTGTAGCATTACAGCTGACCCTCCAGTAGTCACTGTTTACTGGCAAAAGGAAAATGATGGGATTAAAACAAACATAACATCAACAACTCCTGGCATAGATGGTATAACCACAAACAGACCTTCATTAACAATAAAAGAGACGAAAGATTCAGACTCTGGAATTTATATATGCTGTGCTATAAATGCCGTAGGACTTGCACAAAGCAACAACATTAACCTGACTGTGGAAGGAAGTATGTTTCATATTTTAGTTAATGTTAGAATATTTTATATATCTCAGTTGTTTAGAAAATTATATGCTTGGGGTTATTAATCTAAGACTTTAACATTTAGACACAATGGTCTTACAAGTAACATAACATATGTATTTCCTTAATTGCATAAATTTCTTGTTGGCCAAACTTTTTTTACTAGTAGTAGTGAAACTAAGATTCTTTACATTTAGATTCATTCTAGATCAATGTTTTAGCGCACGTTAATATGTAAATATGTCTTTCCAAAGTGATGTTACTGATAGTCTTCTTTATAAAAAGGAAACCGGGGTTTAAACAAAAAAAGGGTCACACATCTAAGTTGTATGACGTGACGGACATGCGAAAAGATATGAAACTGTACAAAGGGTAAGGATTTGATAGTCATGACATCACGGGATACATATCTGTGGAAAAGAAATAAATCAACTCTTTGTTATATATATACCGTTCCTACAGTTTATCACGCTTAACAGTCGTTTCATTGACTCAAACACTTTAATAAAAAGAAGGAAACATATACGATATCGATGGGTAAATAAACTCATAAACACCACTATTATAATTTGTTGACACCAGCTTTGCGTTTTGTCTCATCAGTGACGTTCGAACCAAGATAGTTAAAAGACAAATAAAGTACAAATTTGAAGAGCATTGAGCATCGAAAATTTCAAAGGTTTTGTAAAATACAGCTAAGTGTCATACACAACACTATTTTAGGAAAAAAAAGGGATAAACACTTGTTGGTTGACAACAGAAATTAAAATAAAATGAAAGGAGACGATTTGTTCTCTTGACAAGCGCACTTTAAACACCAATTGTGACTCGTTCACTTATATTTTGCATTTTAGACATGAATTATCCATTTGTTCAACTAAATCCTGAACGAAGCATACAGGTCAAATATGGAGGGACATTCTCGCTCAAGTCTTATATAAGATCTAATAAACAATATCCTATTCGTGAAATATATTGGCAGTATATCAACAATGGAATTGTCACAAGAGTTGATTCAAAGACTGGTGGAAACAATATTGATAACTCATCTCTCACATTTATGCACGTAACTACATCTGAATCGGGACAATTTACCTGTTTTGCTACAAACGATGTTGGAACATCTAAAAGTAATTCCATTGATGTAAAGGTTAATGGAGGTGAGTCATATCAAAGATATAGGTCACTGATTGGTCAATTACTTGAGGTACGTTATAGTAAAAAAATACATGAATGTAGATTTGTTAATAAATATGAAAATAACAAATTACTAATTTGGTGCGTCCGAAGCTTTTTTCTAGATGTTTATTTATCAGTAGCACTCAACAAACCAAAAAACGAAACGTAAATGAGCTGTCAAACATACTGGACACAACAAATCATACCCACGTCTAATTGGGAATAACTATGTTTAAGACATTACTTTCTTATTAACTTATACAAAAATACGTTTGAAATAGTCTCAATACCCAGGTAACAAATAAAATGCTTTGAAATTGCATATATGTTAAGCCCTATGTTCAGAGGGACAACACTCACCAATATAGAGACAGCAATTTCCATGTAGATATTAGAATCTGCTTTAATAATCGGTGTATTTTGTCTAACGTTAAATAAAAAAAAAATTGAAAACTCGCGGTTTTCAAAAAAAGTAGAATAATAAAAATACCGACCTCCAAGGAAACTCAATCACGGAAAGTCCTTTATCAAATAGCAAGATCAAAAGTTCAAACACATCAAACAAATGGAAAACAACTGTCGTATTTCTGACTTGGTACAGGCATTTCCTTATGTAGAAAATGGTGGAATTTTTTTTTTTTAAAGTGAACTTTTATAGTTTTATTGGAACACTATCAGTTGGTTACCATGTTTATTGATGAACGCTTTTTAATGTCATTTACACGGAAGAATATACAAAGTTTTTGTAAACCTTAGTTTTGCTGTTCTACATTTATTTAGCGGTTTACATTCAATTTTGCTAAATCTAAACATCTTCCATTGCTGTCCTAAAAACAATTGGAGTGTATTTATCAATTTTTTAATTTTCAAAAGCTACTTGTCTACCGAAAGAGCATTTACAAAAAAAAAATACTACTGCAAAAGTTTTTTTGTTAAATTGTGGTTTAAACTTATTTTTTCTATGTATGTGATACGATGTGTTGTAATAGGCTTTTAATCATATAATTGATTATGGACTGCTGATTAAACCTTTGACAGAGATTATTTTGGATTTGAAAATCACACGTAGTTGGGTTTTTTTTTTAGCTACACCAAATATTAAAGTTGAAAACACAAGGTATGAATCAGTTTTCGGAGAAATGGTTGAGTTGGTTTGCCAAATAAGTGCCGAACCTCCACTTACAAATGTTTATTGGGAGAAAGTGGCAAATGACACAAGAATGATAATAAATACGGGATCTGTTGGATATCAGAATGGAACTCGTGTCAATCCGTCGCTTACAATTAAGTATTCCACATTGTTCGACACTGGGAACTATACATGTCTAGGATCAAATTCGGTTGGAATAAGCCGCAGTGAATCAATATTCCTACATGTAACAGGTGGTAAGTCATACTTATTCATATTTTTAAGAACGAAGCTATAAATAATGATAAGTACGACAGATAAATGTAGGATTGAACAGACGAAAAAACGACATTAAATAAAAAGGCAAACTACTTTTTATAAGAAAGTAAATGAATTATAATTAATGATATTACATATAAGTTTGTGAAATAATACCAAAGTTATCAAAGTTTATTTTCCCACTTGTAATGCTTTTTTAAGACAAAAAAGAGAGGTTTCTCAATGATGAGATAACATTCAACATGTTTTAAAGGCATATTCTTAATGAACTATATAATGTTGGTGTCCAAGTAGTTTACAAGCAGAGGTTAACTTCATATTGCTTGAATCTATAAAAACAGTTCAGTCATTTGCATTTATTGTGGTTTTTTTTAATTATGTATGCTCTTATCCACTTTTCGAAATGTTAGTAGAAATCATGTCTAACCAATTATTAGAGTAATCTTGGACACTTATCCCAAAACCCATCATAAATACATTAGGAGGAATGATTTTTTTAAAATTAATTGAAAAACAAAACCTTAACACAACTTGAACCTTACGATATACTAAATATAATGATAAAATTGATTCTGCAACAACAACAACAAACCTCAAGATTGATAAAAATGTCAAAATAAGAAAGCAAGTAATTTGGGGTAACACATTCATTATTTTTCAAAACAAACGGCTTATTATGCATGATTTGATATACAGTTATATTATTTATTAAAAGGATATCATTGATTGACGAAAATGAACAAATTGCAAAAGAAATATTAATTTAAAAACTGCAAAACACCAATAACTGTATACCAGAAATTTCGATACTCAAAGAAGCAATATCAACCTCACGGTTTTAGGTGTAACCCACGGAAGAATCTGCAAAACTCATTGTTTTGTGTAATATATCATTTATTAATGTACCATGAAAAACAATGAAATTGAAAATATAAGCAATAAAAACATATACCATAACCTCATATATCATAAAATTTCTCCAAATAATGGCAAAAAGAAATTAAAAAAAAAGAACCATCTTTTCATAGATTTAGAACGAGAAACTCTTACTGTAAATTATACGACTAAAGGCATGAAAGGGTCGATATTATTATTTTTACGATAATATTCCTTTTGCACCGTCGTAAGGTGTTTTCATATCCAAACCTGTTCGCGACGCCTGTGTATGCCGTGATGTTTCGTATTCTAATGAGCGTAAGCTATGTATTACTGGTAAGTTATTAAGTCAGGAATTCGCTATCACATTTTACTTAAAATCTTTACTCAATTCTTCCATAGATACAAAGAAATTGGTTGGACGTTTGGCTATACCCTTAGAAAACTTTGAAACCGATTAGCACATCAAAATTTTAAAATTAATTTAGGTTGACGCTATTTCGGACCTTTTGATAACGAGACAGCCGGATTATATATGAATAGGGAGCTAGCACATGTGTTAGGTCATTTTATCAGCTTTAGTGCATTACATGTATTATCAATTATCGAAAACAATATATAAAAAAAGAGTAGAAAAAGTCAAACAAGAAAAATATTATAAATAATTATCCATATAGAATCAATTAACTGTATACTTATCGGCAGTAAATGAATTTATCTTTTAACAATTTATATTGACTTGCATCACGTTTGGCCCTTACCTAACAAGGGAATTAATTTGTTATAAACAGATTACATTTGGTGTCCTACAGAAGTCCAGTTATCTGCTATCACACATCGTTCATGAAATTCATATATCAGATTGAGAAAATGACGGTATCAGAAGATTTATCTTTAAAAAAGTTGTGTTTCTTTGAAATTAGATAGTTATTGTCTGAACAAATCTTTGTCTAGACAATTTGGTTAAAAAAATGATACTTTAAAAACATTCTTTTACAATACATGAAATAGTAATTCAATTATTTGTAGATCTACCAGAGGTATCTGTTCCTATTCTAGCCGTCAATGTTAGTTTTGGCGACAGTGTTAATCTTATATGTAATGTCACAGCCAAACCTTTGCACGATTTTGTTTACTGGGAACATAAGGAAACTTTCGCTACTAGACGAATATTGACAGGAACAGTCGGCACTGAAGGCAGCACTGTTGAAACCCCATCACTCACTTTAAAGTATGCTACCAACACCATGTCTGGACTTTATACTTGCTTTGCACGAAATGCAGTAGGGATTAGTAAAAGTTCGACAATAAAACTTAAAGTAAATGGAGGTAAGATACAAAAATGAATGTTTTTAAAGAAGGATTTCATATTAATTGAAATGCGCCTTTAGATACAAATATGAAATCGTTTGGACTTTAATATCTAACAGTGATAGACAACTGAAACATAACTTACTATGCTAATAAACCCAGGTATCGTTACATTTTCAAAATTAACTAAGATCATAATAAATGATAACAAAAAAGACTCTAAATGTTATTCCCACACTTATATTCTGTATAAATGGTATAACCCACATGTAATATGTGGCTTATGTTGCAACATCTTAAGTATATTGAGTAGTGTTGAGTTTCGTGTAGTTTTTTTGTTGTTTTTTTTATGTTGTTGTCTTACTTTGGAAAGGGGGGGGGGGTATTATTGAAAGTTTAACCATGCTGATTTGCCTTTGCATCGGTTAATGGTTTAGGATTTGCACATGTTGCAGTTTGTATTTTATGTTTTTTTCATCCCAAGATCTTTATGCAAGAAAATGATTATACGAAATCTGTGGATTCCCTTACAGCCGAACCAAAGTGTAGTTGTATGTAATTACTTTTTGAGAGCAGTAGCAATTGAATGATACTGTCTCTGACACCTCTTTGTCCTTATCAGGTTTTAAATCCTAAACTAGTAATAGTACGTACTATGTGATTTTATCAATGTATTCACGACTTACAGTTTACATAAAACACTGTAACTCACATACTGTGTGTATTCTTTAAAAAAAAAATTGTATTTAAAAGGCCATCATCAGTCAACATTCATGAGAAGTTAATCTGAAATCTGATAAATAACTGTCTTTTTAAATGGTTATTTCTTTTATTGTGTATGACAGAAACTGTGGTCTGAAGACGATATAACTTTTCTATTTTTTGTTCTTTGGAGTTAAGGAGAAAATTATTGCATCCTTAAAATGTAAGTCACTACTAGTTAAAGTAGCTGTTATAAGTTAGTTTGCGCTTGTAAGGTATACTTCAAATACTTTGTTTAACCTTATGCTTTGCAATCTTATCTGTTCATGTTATTTTACTCTTTCGTTCAAAATTTTTTTGGTTGTTCAAATGTTTATTTACAGTATCACACAAAAAATTGCTTCAAATTTTGAAAAAAAAATAATCAATATATGACCAGTATAATAATTTAACTTTGTTCTGAACGTTTGAGTTTCTGCCTTTTTAAGATAACACCTTCTTTTCTAGTTTAAAGGATGACAAAGCAAAATTATTGAGGTTGCTACTGCCAATCAGTTTCATGAATTTTCTTCTAGGCCCACATACTGGATTTAAAATAATGTAAACATCTACATAATCAATCTTGTGGTCTAGAACTTTCGTAGTTAGAAGATGCTGTTTCAGATAAATATATATATTTTTTTAAAAGGTTTACCTGAAGTTGTCGTCGATGTCCGAAATTACAGTACCACATACGGAAAAAAGATCAAGCTCGACTGCAGAGTTACAGCACATCCTGAGGTTGTATTTGTCTACTGGCAGAAAGAAATTAATAACGTAATTACCACACTAATCAACGGGTCAATAGGAACAGAAGGAATTGAACTTAATTTTCCATCACTTGTCTTAACTAGACCCGTAACAGCTGATTCTGGAATATATATGTGCTTTGCGTTAAACAGAGCAGGAATTCAGCAAAGTGTACCAACTACATTGACGGTAGAGGGGGGTATGTAAGAATGATTTAACTTAATTGATATGACGTTATGATGAAATGCAAATATTGGGGTAATATGATAAACTAAGTTTTTTCAATTATTGCAAAAAATTCATATTCGTTCACCTTAAATGTTTATAGCCAAAACCAGTACATGAATGCAGACTGCAAGGTTAATTTAAACAATTATATCAATATAAAAAAAAAAACAGGAAACACATAGTTCGTTTATATTTGCAGCAAAAATACACATACATGTAATAACCATGAATAATTATGCCCAAGGAAGTACTTACTAGGTGAAAATTAAACAAATCTAGAATTTCAAATATTGATACTATTAGTCAGAAGAGCATTATTTGAGGAACAAAATAAGCTTAAAATATTGATAGGCAATGGAGTTCCTTTTCGAGATATGTGTTTGTAAATGGCAGGAAAAGGCTGACTCGGACTATATAATATTTTACCCTGTATCGTAGGAAAAAAACCTGGGAGTTCGAGCATCTGACAACCTGACCTAATAACATCCTTAAGCTAAGTCGCTTACAAATTAAGTTGCAATAGTTAAATTAAATTGTTCCATTTTGTTCCAAAATTTCAAACATGAAAAATATAGCGCTGAACTACTTTCCATGAAGTATGTTAAAGATAAGACTACGTTTGAGTCCGAATCATGGAAAGACAAAAATTGTTATCAATCGTGGGCTTATCATGGCTCTGACTTCTGCAATGACATGCATGAGTGTAGAGAGTACATTATGCATAATGTTTTTTATGTTTTGTCGAAAACCTTTTCCATTAAGTATACATATTCTCTCTTACGCTCCTTTGAGTATTGAACAAAATAGATTGTATTGAAATTTGATTAGTAGCTCCAACTAAATTGCTTCCCCGGTCTGACTTGAAGATCTAGATTGATCCTTGAATAACTGTATTAAGACGCAATGCATCTCTTCTACTAGTTCAATATAAACCTCATAAATGGTCAAACATGCAAATACTATTGTTCTCTCGTCTACGAGTAAGTTTGTTTTAAAAACGATCACATTAGTACTAAATTTAGTCGCTTGAAAGGTGCCTTTACAAACTTCCCCTACTAAACCAAATCCTAGACTTACTTTCTGGGCAATTGGTGTGCCAAGTGCTCTTGTAATATGGTTTCGCATATGGTGATTATCACAGATATCAAGTTCGATCAAAAGTTGTATCTTATCATCTAGCAACTATAGATATTGTATCCTCAATGCGGTTAACATGGGTTAGAGTGCAAATGAAGTTTTGCCATCCCCTGTGTTTGGATATCTGAAGTATCATTTGACATCGAGTTGCATTTAATCACATTTAGGCAATTTGTGATGTAAAGAACATTTCATGTATCTACTGCTTCACCTGAAACCCGTCAAAAATATTGGATAAACATTTTTAAATTAATATTGATAGTTTTCCCGAGTTTGAAGCTAGGAAACACATATACAAGAACATATTTTGAACATTAACAACCAGTGAAATAACATAAAGATACGCATTATGTGACATTGTAATTTTCATCTTTTTTTTAATTTTCTCCGTAATGATTAACTTGGGGTTCAATAATGTTATTTGTTGTCCTTTGTTGTATAATTCAATTTGTCTTTTTCTTTTTACGTACATTGAAATTGAATGTTTTACATTTTGGCGATAGTGATACTTCACATATTGGTTACAGTCTTAATTCGGTATTCTCATTCAGGAAAAAGGGGATTGGATTGTAGTTCCGACATTTGAAACATACCCGTTGTCATCTGTGAAAGCTTAGATCATTACAAACAACATGAAATCATTAAACTAAATTACTCCTAATTATACAAAACTTTCCAAATAAGAAAGACGAAGAGCTATGCACTTTGCTTCAAAAGTAAGCATACATACACAAACACGATTATTTGTTTTTATGCTTTCTTTGAAATACAAAACAGAGATTCCAAAGCCTACTGGAAGCGTTTATAGAGATTTAGTTAGAAGCAAAACAAAAACACAGAACTAATCTAAAACAAAGACAAAACTAATAAAAGCAAAAAAAAAAAAAAAAAATAGAGAAACATACCCTTTGAAAGCTAATTTTTGTTATCTTTTTTTTTTACTTATGAGTTTTATTGCCCTTTTAGTTCAATTTTTTTTTTATTGATCATCAACAGTTTACCAAGAAGTTATATGTTGTTATATGTATTTTGAAATTATTTTTGATCCAGCACGATTATGTTTTATCATCAAACAGGAATACCGCATGTAACTATATTGCACACTGAATACACAGCTGAATACGGCAAACCAATTACGATGAACTGCAATGTGCAATCCAATCCGCCGACTTCAAGGGTGTTTTGGCAAAAAGTAAATGATCAAAGTCAGATCAAACGGATCAATAATGGAACACCTGGGACTGTTGGATCTTCTGTGACGTTCCCTTCGTTAATAATTAATTTCACTACTCCTGCTAATGAAGGAATTTATTTTTGCTTGGCTGAAAATACTGCTGGAATAGGTCAAAGTCAGCGCATTAAACTTACTGTTCTTGCAGGTAGGCTATATCGTTTATCTTTTTTTTTTGGCAGAAATGATGGTGAATTAATTAAAGATAATAAATAGTATATATGTATGGCCTTAAAGTACATGTTTATCTATCTTGCAGTTATATCTAAGGTATCAAAATTCAATAAACGACAGGCTAAATATACAACAGGGACATTCAAATCATAAGTCGAAAAATAAGCTTACAACGTCATGGCAAAAAACGAAAAAGGACCGAAAGACAAACAACAGAGTACGAAACTCAACATAGAAAACTAAAGAGTGAGCAACACGAATAACAAAACCGGGAGTTATATTTGGTGCAATAAACAATGTTTTAAACTTTGTTTGAATACCATAACATTTTCTGATATGTTGCTGTTTGTACAAAATGTCGACTTTTAAAATAAGTTTATTTCAAAAATATAGTTTAATCCGGCAAAATGCTCATGTGTCTTATATTTGTCTTTTTTTTTTAAAAAGCACCTTAACCGAATACAGATAACGTTCTAAAATATTCATAATTGAACAATATATAACTAAATATCTTAAAGGTATGTGAATATTATGATTATAATGATAATTATTAGTTGTATTTTTCGCATAACTGTTTTATTTCCATGTTATCTTCATATTATTGACCTGATCATCCTCCTATGCTATAAAATATTCAATGAAATCTGTGCGTAGTATGGTATGTACATGATTTATGTTAATTAAAACCGGATATTTTGTAACTCAATTTGATTTTACAATGTAGAGTCAGTGATTATTTAACTTGCCATGGTGGTTCTTGAATACTTATGGCATGGCCAAACTGCATTTCGCCTGATTTTAACAAAATGTACAAAATGTGTTTCTATAATTTTTAATCGGTATTTTGATATTTTAAGCATAGCATACTTTATTTTGATACATGAAAAAAATATATTGATTTATTGTCACGAAACTATTTTTTAAAGAGTTTTTTTTTTTTTTTTATATTTCTTAAATAATTTAAACGTAAAATTTCATAGGTTATGTTACGATTAATTAAGACATATAGGAATATGTGCGTGTTAAAGGTAATGTTACACTTTTAATGTATGTACTATATTTGGATTCTATCATTGCTACTTTTAAACAGTTGTAGGTCTTTTATTATTCGCGTTATTTTGTGTTTTTCTTTTAATGACATACAAGGTGAACTTTTGTAATGTATTTGAATTTGTTTTAATTCTTTTAAATGTCGAGATTTAGAATGAAAGATACGCCAATAATAATGAATAATTGTTGAAACATCCATAACCAAAGTTCTTTTGACTCATCTCGTATCATTTCTAGCTGCCCCCACCCCATCACCCCATCCCTTTACCACCACCAACACCAACACCACCACACACACACACAATTATATGACGATTTCTGATATTATATTATTTTGATAAAAATATAATTTTGACTTTCGTATGATAAAATAAAATTACAGTTACTGTTAATTTGATGAATTTTGATTTCTTTTAGTATTGACAGAAAAACATAACAGGGGTTGAACATATAGTTTATGCCTATTAATTTTACCTTACAAAAATATTAAAATACAACAGACTGTATGCAATTATGTACAATATTTGATTATTTAATCCAAAATATGTGATTATCAAAGTTTTTTTGGTGGAACAGTTCTTTAAAAGCATACATCGTTGACCTGTTTTAGCTTTCCCGAAATTGTATTTTGGTGATCGATGTTAATATGGACTTAAACTATAGCACAAAATAAACACCATTAGATGTTGATGATAATATCATTACATTGAGTGTGAATCAATATCTACCAACTCATTGCAGTTTGATTTTGAAATTTATAGCATGAACCTCGCTGAGCGTTATATATAATTGCAAATAAGCAATCATAGATTATTGAAATATCGTTTTGCATGATATCTGACAAGGGAATTATCTTTTCTAATCATTTTGCTGATTTTTGTAGAGATACTATATTTTCTTTCGAAATGATCTGTCAAAAAATGTATTCATTCCATGCGATGTCATTCGGAATATTTACCTCCTAATTAACGTAACAAGAGCTAATGTTGAAAAACAAGAAAGTTTTACTCCATACTTGTAATTGAGCAATGAAAAACTGAAATCAAGTAAACCACAAGTTGATAAAAAAGAACCAACCGGTCGGAATAGAAAACATTGGTCAATAATGATAAAAATACTAACTCATTTGGTCTCTGGATGATAGTTATTGACAATCAAACCACATCTACTTATTTAAAAAAAAACATGCAGAAAATGTATAGATGATATTGTTCAAACGGATTGATTATCTTAGATATTATATTCCCATGTTTCAACTTATTAATTACAAAACATGCATGGTTAAGTTTTAGCATCATGAACTATTGTTGCTGACATTTTAAATTAAGGAACAGTTCTATCTAATTCAAATCCATGATTCGATGTGTTTAATTATAAAAATAAGAAGAAGTGGTATGATTGCCGATGAGACTACTCTCCACAAGAGACCAAACGACATAGTAATTAACAATATTAGGTCACCGTCCTTTTTGATTTGATCAGTTCTTTAACGTTGTATTAGGTTTTTGGTATTACATATTTGTCCTCGAGCATCACTGATGAGACAGTACTTGTTGAAATGCGCTTCTGGTGCAATAAATAGGTACCGTGAATGTTATTGTAAACGTATCTTTTTAATATCCAATTCAGGTCTTCCAGTTGTTAGACTCACTAGTTCATCATCCAAAGTTCTTGTGGGAAGTAAAGTTGAAATCACGTGCCTCATAAAATCCATTCCTGATGTTGAAAATGTGTATTGGCATATAGATTCAAAAATCTCAACAACAGTCATTAATGAAAACTCGTCAAATGTGAATATGAAGCAATTAATTACTAATCCAACCGAAAGCATGTTAACAATTCAGGAAGCTTCAGTGTCATTATCTGGCAAATACAGATGCTTTGCAAAAAATGAAGTTGGTACGTCCAGCAGTCTGCCACTAGATTTGACGGGTAAGTAAATTATATTTACAACTATTTCATGTATATGAATAGTCCATAATTCACACTGCATTCGATGTATTTGTCCAGTCATAATAATGCAACGAGTTTATATATTCTTTGGCGTTCATTCACAGATAGTACATTGCCTTAAGCAATGCACACTCAAACAAACATACACATGTTGATAGACATTGGTATCGTTAACAATTGTAAACACCGGAGAACGAAAAAATAAGAATGTATATTGAACACGCTATTTTCTTTTTGTATATTTTGATAACACTGTATAGATTATTACGTTTATCAATGTTTATTGCTAATTTTAGTCTAAAATAACCGAATTCGTTCAGCATCTGAATGATCTCAATAGATAACATTGTATGAAGTCATAGTTATAATTAAGATGCCTTTTTAAGGGATGAGTATGTAAAAGAAGTTTTTTTTTTTTTAATATTTAATTAACAGATACAAATAACAATAAATGAGTAATAACAGATGTTATAGTGCATGACATAAACACAATACCAGTGTTTTGACTTTACAATCGAAAGATTTTTCATTCTAATCCATATATCGTTGTTATATCATGTATGTCAAGGCAATATAGTATTGTTGTCTATCTATTTCATCCATATTCAGTATGCTAGTTTGTTTGATGACTGAGATAAAGGTGAGATTAATATTTAAACGATGACATGATTAAATAATTTCGATGTTAAAAGATCTGGAAATTACAAATATAAACACCCGTAATTGTTAAAACACTTTACGATAACGAACGAAAAATTACCGAGCTTTATTTTAGTAAAAAGTAAAATAACAAAAATACCGAACTCCGAGGAAAATTCAAAACGGAAAGCCCCTAAGGAAATGGCAAAATCAAAAGCTCAAACACATCAAACGAATGGATAACAACTGTCATATTCCTGACTCGGCATAGGCATTTTTGGTATGTAGAAAATGGTTTTATAGCTAGTTAAACAGCTCACTCGTATGACAGTCGCATAAAATTCCATAATATTGACTTTATATCTGTTTCATTTAAATTGTTGTGGTATGTTGTTCATTTTCAAGTTACTCTTTTTCATGAGAATACATACTCAACTAGATTACAATGTATAACTTAGAATTGTACAAAAACCTTTTACAAACTGTTAGTAGTTAGCGCTTACTTCGTGTGATATGTAATACCACCATAAAAAGAAAGTCTTCTCGTTTGATTCATGAGCTTGAATATTCCATTCTTATAATCGTAATAATAGATCACACAAATACTTGAGTCAAGTCAACGATTACATCAAAATTGCCCTGAATTATTCAAGCCTGCTAATTAAATATTAGAAAAAATTCAGATATACATAGCTACTTACTCACAGACTAGACACGACTAGAGTGCATATACACTTTCATCAACATGCAATCTTGCTGAAATGCTATACCAATATTTCTTATACATTTAAATATACTGCAATCACTATCATTATTACAGTTATAGACACTGATACACTGGACCAGACCGTAAGGGTGATTGCGGATTTCTCTGATGATGATAGTAGGTATCCTTAATTATTACAAATTATTGGATTTTTAAGAAAGAGAGATAGAGAGAGAGAAGGTTATTTTAAATGCGTTCGATTCTGAACTACATTTATATAAATGGATAACAAAATTTACATTGTTTTTCCTAAATCAGTTTAGGGAATTGTGTAGTTTGCAATTACGACCTAAAACACTTAAAACAAAATATAGTTGCAGCTATCTCAAATACGGTCAACCTTGTGGCTACGGCTATCTAACAATAAATCATTAATACAGGTGATCTAACTAAAGACTGAATTAAGTTTCCAAACATTTTAGACTGGAACGACTTTATGAAAACCAGATTCGTAAAATTTGTGTATGGAAACAGAAAATAACGTAGTTTTTTTCAATAACCCTGTGTAAATCCGCATTGAACAAACGCATATTTTTTTAAAGATTGTAATAGTTACTTGTTCATTAATTTCTGATGACTTATCAGTTTTACTTTGTATGATTAATTGCAATGCATAGTTTTTAAAATTGAATGCCGATTGTTCATATTCTCTGCAAATAGAAACAATTAACCACTGTGTTCAATAACACAGTATTGTCTCAGTTTCTTACTTATTAGTCTTTTTTTTTAATCTTTGCTTTGCACGTATATATTCTTCATTTAGTACTTCATTTTCCCCTTATAAGTTTTAATTAATGATACATTTGATACGATTGTACTTAGTTCACAAGACGTCTGCATTTGTAACACAAACATAATGAACAAATAATATCAAAAGTAAATACATGTTGTTCCACGCTTCGACATACCAAATAACGTGGTATAGACGAAGTTCTTAACCAGATAACCAAATATGTCCTTTCAAAAAAGAAAAAGAGAAGAATATTTTCCGAATGTGTTAATGTAAAGCAATTACACGTCTCTTTTAGCCGACACTATAGTTCAAGGTGTTTTAGGCTCCATAGGTACATTGGTGGCAATTGGATCATTTTTCCTTACCATCGTGCAGATAAGAAAATGCAAATCAAAAGGTAATTCAGTGTTTTTAGTCAGTGTGACTGTATCTTAATATAAGATATGCCTTTATTATATTTTTGAAAATAGAACCGTCTTAATATACTATATGTGAGACAAATATGCCCATTTGAAGAAATTCCTCAAGGAAAATGAAAGACCTATTGAAAAATGGACGGATACATGCGTAATTTTAAACTTGCCTTACTATTTTATTATTGGAATACTATAACAATAGGAAGAAGTGGTATGATCACCAATCGGACAACTCTCCACAAGAGACAAACATGACACAGAAGTAAACAACTTAAGGTCACCGTACGGCCTACAACAATGAGTTAAACTCATACCACATAGTCATCCATAAAAGGCCCCGAAATGAAAATGTAAAATAATTCAAACGAGAAAAAAACACGGCGTGGTTTATGCACAAAATAATGAACAAAAATCAATAATGATATACAGCAACAAACAACACAAACTGAATTACAGGCTCCTGACATTGGACCGGCACATAAGGAATGTTGCGGGTTAAAACTAGTTTGAAGGCCCGCCAACCCTCACCCTAAACTGGGATAATGGTGTAACTGTATAACATAAGAAAAAGCTATAAAAATCACTAGAAAATGGCTAAACTCATCAGATCGATACAAAGCAGAAATACATAACAGTTGGTGGACGTGGCAGGGTACTTATACATCCCCTAAACAAAAAGACACTACGTACAGATTTTGGGAGTACTCTCAGTTACTCACAGCTAGTTCAAAACCAAAAACAACTAATGAAAATAAAATCATGAATCTAAGACTAAAATATCAATCAGTTCACATTCAACATCCAATAGATTTCGTGTAAAGCAACATTAACAGTCAGAAAAATAAAAGTATATTTTAGCTTAAGAAATTCCAGCAAAAAAAATTAGTTTATTACCCTATATTGCGTTTAGTTATGTTAAAATGAAAATACGTAATTTTGATATAATGATAATGTCATGCAACCATGCAAAACAGAAAATAGAACTTTGAAACAAAGACCCAGTAGAACATCGGGATGCTGATGGTAATAGATAATGTTGAAAACATCTGTGCATCGTAAATAATCTAAGGTTGATACAAAATCATTGCAAATTCCCCTTTTTTAAATATATTTAACATCAATATGGATTAAAGGTCAACATATGCACACGTTTTCCCTTTTTCTCGTTTTTAGTGCGATTTTAATATTTATCTTATACTCTTTATTCGTTGTCGTAATATATTGAGTACCATGTTTTTTATATTTCTCTTTCAAGTAAAACAACACAACTCAATGCAAGCATCACCTAGTGATGGCCTTGTGGAATTTTTTTCTTATTAATAATGTAAGCAAAAATTATTACGGAGCAACAAACAGTTGTTACTCCTGAACACAAATTTTTCGACCACTATTTTTACTAAATTTCCGAGTTATGTATATAGTCGATAACCTTTTTTTTTTCTCAAAACAAATACGACAGTTACATAGTGAAAATACTTCAATTTACAATAGAATAGTTGAAATGTATGCAGAGCTGCTTATCAGTAATAAACATTTGTAACAGTAACAGTCCAATTTGACATACATGTATATATTGTTTTCGATAATTTCGAAAAGATCTCATAAATATATTGTATTTTTATTTTTTTTATTTTTTTCAGATGGTACAAAAAAATGTAAAATTACAGATATTGCATCTTGTAAGTAACATGTTTATATAATGTATTGATTTTCTATGCAATGTATATTAATACAGGCTTATGATATTCCCCAAATCGAAGGAACTAAAATGGACGAGGTATAATTAGCAAATGTAGGGCAACTGAATGAGTTTATGGGTAGCTTTGAACTAAGAAATAAGCATGGTCAATTGATTATGTGAAACAATTTCGTAACAATTTACCAACGAATGTTCATAGTTTGAATAAATTAACAATTGAATTTCAAGCAAAGATTTTGGTATTAACTCAATTTCATCATTTCCAATATTATCATTTTTTATAGTTTGTTGGAAAAAAGCCGCGTTTTATTAAAACTAAGTCATACATATTTTGCTTAATAAGTAACTTTTTATCCCTGATTTTAAAGATTTTCCGTTTTTATACATGTTGTTTTATGTAGAAGACATAATATTCAAAAATGTTGATATATTGAAAAATGAGAAATTGTTCGTCTTTGACCTTTAATCTTGATTTTACCGAATATTTGACGACCAGGCAAAAAAGGAAGTTGTGATGCTATGCATACGAATAGTATATAATATAGGCGTACGTTAGGTTCTGTGCATTAGACATTTCATTTTATGGTAAACGTCACTCGCCTATTCGTATATTGTGATTAGTTGTTACTATTACATAGAAATAAGAAGATGTGGTATGAGTGCCAATGAGACAACTCTCCATCCAAGTCACAATGTGTAAACAGTCAACAATTATAGGTCAAAATACTGCCTTCAACACGGAGCAAGATATAAAGGACCCAAAACTTACTGGTGTAAAACAATTAAATCAGGAAAACCAACAAAACACTTATGAACCACATCAACAAACTACAACCATTGAACAACAAGTCCCTGACTAAGGACAGGTGCAAACAAATGCAGCGGCTTTAAACGTTTAACAGTCGCCAGGCCAACCTTCACCCTAACCTGAAATAGTAGTGTATCATTACAACATAGAAACTACACTATAAAACATCAATTGAAATGGCTTAGCTCAGTCAAAGACATATTAACAAAAACAAGTACTTATAAAAAAGGGGGGTGTAAAACAATATCAGAAAGACAACTATATCCTTGGACAAAATGGCGTTAAATAAAATAACATATTAAGGATATATATTAATTTTGTTGAAAGGAGTACATGGAGTACGGAAATATTTTTCGCAAAATAAATAAATCTGTTTTTCACAGTACGAGAACAGAAGTGAAAATTTTCGTCATATTAAATATTTATCAAAGGTGGTATATATTAAAAATAGTGAGACGAGATATAACACAAAATAAGTAAACATTCAAGAACAAAAATGAATTACAAATTTTGTCAATATGTCAAATTAACACGAAAGTAAGATTTGAGAATACTCGCAGTTACTGAAAGCTGGTTAAACGCCAAAAACAATTAATAATTAGAAAAACATGCATCAGTTACTAAAATCAACTAAAACACATTCCACGGATTTAGTGTTTTAACGCTATGGACAGTCAAAGAAGACATGATTGTACAATGCCAAAATAAAAGTATCAACAGGCAGTAGGATAGTTTACCCGTTCACACTTAGTCAAATTTCAAAATCAAGAATATGAAAAAATCGATCGAATTACATATCCGACGACTATACTGGGTTCTAAAGATTTAAGACTGAGAAAATATGTTGCTAGTGTGTTGAGACACCGACACATCGTATCGGTCAACCAATTCGTAATGGTGACCGTAAAACTTATGTAGTGTCGATTTCAGTCGATCTTCCTCATAAACATGCTGGAGCAGTTTTTATTTAAGAACCATACCTCTGATCACGGAGCCCATTTAGTGTGAACATGTACGAACGTAACATATTCACTCAGATTTGTGAACTAGAAAACAGAAAAAGTCAATAAAGCCTGAATCAATTAAACGCTCGCTTATATCAACAAAAGTAACGAATGGAAAACAACTGTCATAAACCTGACTTAGTACAGTCATTTTCCATCAGTACGATTGTATCGCATGTATATTACTGTTGAATGATGGGAAGTTGGCAATTTTAAAGTTGAAATCATCACGTTTGTCAAGAATTCTAATTGGTAGTCATCCATCTTAAGTTTGTAATTATGAGGAAAAGACCAATATACAAAGAAGAACACTGTAGGTGGGTAGTTCCTTTAATCTTAAAATCACTGGGATATCTGAAATGTTAGCACTCATTGAATTATGTGTTATAGAATTACTGCACATCAGCCATATATCTGAATGTGCAATTAAAGGAATTTGCCAGATGCTTTTCATTTTGATTTTACGAAAATTTTGTATGAATTATCTTCTTCAGGAGTAAATAAACATATCAGCAGTGGCACATAATTGATATCAAATTAAATACTTTCTCTCTGCTGAAATATCGATATACTAAACTCAATAAATGTTTTTATTAAAAAAAGACCTGCATTTTGATGATATCAGCTTGGATGTTTTAGTCATGGGAATTAGTGTGGTTTTTCATCACAAAGTAATATTTGTCATGACCTTTAACAAGGAATGTGTATCTCGGTGTCCTATTTTTGCAGAAAAAAAATCTGTTTAATATGACAATGTAGTGGATAAATACACTCATATTGGATACCAGGATAACAAATTTAGTTCGACAGACGCGCGTGTCATTTACAAAAGCCTCATCAGTGACGCTCTTATCAGAAAGTTAAAAAGGCTAAATAAAGTATGAAGTTGGAAAGCATAGGAGACTTTAAATTCCTGAAGGTTTTGCTAATCTTTCCATTGTGCATGGACAATAGTAGTGTAAATAATAGAATAAAGATTAAAAAGATTGAAATTGATGAGTTTGATTAGCTCTTAACTCATTGTCTGATTGATACCACTATTTAAATAAACATCATCACAATATTTCAGACTGACAAACTTTACAGTAAAAATAATTCTAGTAAGAACTAAGGACAAATGTCTAGTCGATCATTAATTGTTCTTTATAACGATTATTGAGAAGTTTAGGTATCAGTAGTATAAAGATGGGATATTTCCATTGTCCTTTTTTATGGTAATACCAATGGATAGACGAATATGTGACTATCTGAAATATCCTCTGTTGTTTAGAAAGAATATGTTGGATTTCCAGGTACTGATAGGGTTATTGCGCCATGACTAGCGGTGTTACCATGGAAGTAAAAGAAAAAAAATGGGTCCGAGCCACGATTAGGAGGATATTGAAACTGAAGTGTACTTATGTTAGGTCGATTTGCTAGGCCCAATAGCATGAATAATATTCTTGAGAATTACATACAGACAACAATTTACAGCCGATATGTGTTATCTATTTGTTTTTTCTAGAACTCTAACACCAAATTAGAATACAAACAGTACAGTTGTCATAATTTTGTTAAATTCTTTTCACATTGTAGGGTCTATGAACAAGTTAACTTGTCCAAATTGTAAGTACAAAATTCGATTTGTTAAAACACAATATCATAGATTTATCACTCATTTAGTTTTTCCAATGATGCTCAGAAGACACGTTATTGCGAACATTTTTAAGGCTCTTTTATAAGGACGAAATCATTATCTATTGTTAGGACGTTTATTATTTTTGAATATTTACCATGTTTACAAAGAGAGAAGTTACAGATCAATATGAAAACAAATATTTCAAAGTTATAAAAAACTGTATAAATAGTTAATTCCATTAAATCTGAATGAGAAATGTATGACCAAGTATGTTCAAAGAATAAAGGCAATCATAAAGTTCACACTTTAATAAATCGTCTCTTTGCTGACTGCAAACGAATTATTTGAACAAGACAGAATTTACATCGGAGAAATCTGAATACGGACTTAACATTACGTATTAAACACTTGAGTTTCATCTACTTACTTTATCAATGTTTAAGGTCTCAACCTATAAATAGCTGTACCAAACTGTCCTTACCCCAACCTATTCATTATCATGACAATAACATTAACTATAATCTTAGCACACATCCGTTGTATTAAACAACCCTTACTCTATCAATGAACGAGCCATGCAACTAAATTCATGAATTAAAAGAAGGCTAATATTTGTTTTTAATTCTTTTGAGTGCTGTTAAGATAAAATTGGCCTTTGAATTTCAAAACTGGTTAACTAGAACCTGCAATTTAAAGCCATTCTCTTTGGACCATGCGATATTGAAAGTCAAAATGTAAATTCTAAATGACAAATTAGGACAATGAAATCATTAATCTCGCCCTGTATTTTAGTTCTTTTTAAAAAATCAATCTTTCGAAATCTATTTTAGTCATGTGCATATAATTGGTTATGGTCTATTGTTTTCAAATTTAACATGTAGGCAATACCAATTAGCAATATTGATGAGCCTGTTTAATTATAATCCGACGAATTAGATATAACAACATTGCATATGAATTTGTAAGAATTGTTTGCCTACGTAAGAATGATCCCAAAATATCTGCAAGATTTTATAGTACGATGACATATAGTTCTTTCATTCTGTTTTCCTCTTTTTTCATAAAGTTATGTAGTATTGTGTGTTACTAGCTCATTTTGCAACATAATGTTGATAATATACCAGGCTTGGAATTTGGTAGGCAAGACGCGCGTTTCGTCTGCATAAGTGTAGTCAATGGCGCTTCAATCAAAACCGTTTGGAAGTAAAATTAAGTACGAAGTTGAATATGTTTCCTTTATTGCATTCCCACAAATATAGATATATATATATATATACAAGTCTAAGTTGAAAACAACATTCAGACCTATATTTATAGGCTCACTTGAACATTTGTAACACGTTGAAATGATTTCTTATCATTTTAGTAGACACCTCTAGAGCTGTTTACCTCCACTGTGTATTTTGTTTTGCAACAACATAAACTGAAGCTAATGACTAAATCATACGAATAAAATGGGTAAAATGAGAACACACGATCTGTATATTTGTTAAAAATACTTAATTAAATTGCATAATGAAATACCAAATGGAACAAACTTTGCTTTCTAATATATATAATGTTACACTTTGGTTTTAGTGTTGAATAAGACACGTAACAGTAAAAAGGGTCACTGACTGCCAAAGTCCTAGCCAGCGACATGTCTTATTTAATTATTAGATATAAGAAGATGTAGTATAAGTGCCAATGAGACAACTCTCCATCCAAGTCACAATTTGTAAAAGTAAACCATTATAGGTCAAAGTACGGTTTTCAACACGGAGCCTTGGCTCACACCGAACAGCAAGCTATAAAGGGCCCGAAAAATGACTAGTGTAAAACCATTCAAACGGGAAAACCAACAGTCTAATCTATATAAAAATGGAGAAACGAGAAACACTTATGAACCACATCAACAAACTACTGAACATCAGATTCCTGACTTAGGACAGGTGCAAACAAATGCAGCGGGTTTAAACGTTTTAATAGGTACCTCCACCCTTATCTGAAACAATAGTGTAACATCACAACATAGAAAGACAACACAGTTACATAGTTACCAGAATTGAAACATGATATGCAATACATGCTATAGTTAAAAGGCAGTTTTCTTAGGACTTAACGTCATGTAATCAACCATCGAGATGAGCTGCGTGCACTTCCAATTTCCATGTAACCCCATTAATATATATATATATATGTATACATTTAAATAAAACAGACAAGCACGTATTTTGGTAAAATGACAATCTAAGTCTGTTTGATTTCATGTCATCGTTTAACATGTATGAGATTGATATGTTGTGGGCCGAATGCATCCACTCAATGTTTCTTTTAAGTCACCCACTGTACATGTATGTAATTGCGTAACCAACCGCCAAGGCCATCAAAAGCATACGAACCCAATGCGTGATCGAATTTTTGTTTTTTAAGACAGTGATATCATGATTGTATCAACACTGTCTTAGAGTTGGTATTTAACTTATAGAACCAAATTGCCTTCTTATGGCGAATCATTACACTATTTTACCTTTTTTTCAAAAACAAATATCTGATTCTCTGACCGTCTGTCCGTCTATTTCTTTTTTCGTCCGTCCTTCTGTCTGTCTGTCGTCAAAAATGCTTTCAATAATATTCATAAAACTTTGATGAATTGTTAATATCTACTGACGAAAGCTCTATTTCGTTTTTTATTGATTTTACGTTTCTGAGTTTTGGGATTTTATTCATAGATTGAAGAAATAGGATTTTTTTCCAGTTTTCTGTCTATAACTCAAAAATGCTTTCAGTAGTTTTCACGAAACTTCGGTGAATCGTTTATATATATATTGACATACAATGTAAGTTATCTTTCCATTTTTTAACATTCTGATTATAAGTGTTGGAGTATAAGAACTTTATTCATAAAAAGGTGGGGATTATCAAGTTTTCACACGATACCTTGAAAACGCTTTGAGCAGTTTTCATGAAACTTTTTGACATATTTATATGTATTGAAATAAACTCCCTTTTTTATATATAAATTTATGATATAACTTTATTTGTCGAAACATCGAAGAACACTTTCTCATTCTCCACTTTTTAGATGGTTATGACATTTATTTCATTCAAAAAGGAGGCCACATACTCAGTAAAAACTTGACATAGCCATAATACTGCCACATTATTTATGTTTGTGTCAATCGGTACCACTTTTTTATGCATGTCTTCTTTTTTGGGAGGATTTTATGTTATGGGAGGAGGAATCTCTAGTCAGAAGCCTGTTGTTCAGTGGTTGTCGTTAATTCATGTCTGCCATATTTGATTTTCGTAAATTGTTATAAATTAGGTTGTTAATTTTTTCTCAATTGAATTGTTTCATATTTTTCACGTCGGAGCCTTTTAAAGCCGACTATACGGTATGTGTTTTTCTCAGTGTTGAAGGCCGTTCGGTTGCCAATGATTGCTTACAATCACTGCATGTGAACTTTGGTGGGTAGTTGTGACAGTCTCGTTGGCAATCAAACCACATCTCCTTATTTTTATATAATATCATATGTTGATTTTCTATTTTGGTAAAGTTTAGTCACTGATTTATCACGTCAGCGGTATGTTCTTTGCATGTGTGCCTTGGATCAATCTTAGCTGGTGACGTGAGTTTATTGTCATCCTAACAAATTTATTTCAGCATTTAATTTTGAAATTTAGAGTCTCTGGTCATAAATTTGCAGAGAACCACAGCCACGTTTTAAGATGCTGTTGCCTTCACATCCTACACGAATGTAAAGAACTATCTCACATCACGCGTTTTATGTTGCTTCTAAACGTAACTTTCTACAAATCTAGGATTCCTGCTCTTTTGATTTATAATTAATTGGTGTCTAGAAAAACATTCTTACAAATGGAATGAAAACCAAATTTATCCTGAAAATGTTTGATATCTTTCTTTTTCAGGTTGTTCGGACAATTATCAAAGACAAAAAGGCAAGTAAAGTATTTAAGTGTTTTGATAAAAAAAAAAAAAAAAAAAAAAAAACATATGTCGTTTGACATTGTTATCATGTTCAAATGTGATGCGCAGTACTTACTTTTAATTACATGTATACTAAAAACCAATGTACAAATGGAAAGAGTTGATATCTAAAAAGAAAGAAAATGCAAACAAAATTAAACAGATTATGTGATGGTTATTTAGAAAAGACGGTTGAAACTTGTTTAGTTTCGCTAACTTGTGCCTTGATTAGCAGTGAAAACGTGCTTTTGTGCAATTTGACTTATATGTATAAAGTGTTGATAGGTAGATATGTGTTTTTTTTCTATAATAGGGATGCTATAAATCCTAACATAGCTGTTTCCAGTTCATTTTTCAATAACGCATACTTTTAATATCAAAGACACAGGCGCAAATCTTTAGTCAACTTTCCATATAAAACAAAGCCTATCAAAGTTGTCATCACAAATTTGGAATAAAGATAAAAACTACTAAATCGGACTAAACTCACATGCCTTATATTATACATAAATGTAAATAAACATGACAAACCTGTTATGTCTGTTTGGGTTGAATAACCAATTTTGTCAATATAACGGAACTATAACAACTGTCATACAAGTTGGAGGCTTAGCTAGCTATAAAACCAAGTTTGAGCTACCATTTTCTTCGAACAATGCCTGTACCAAGTCAGGAATAAGGCAGTTTTTTTTTTACTTTTTTGATTAATAGCTGTTGATTTTGTCAGTTTTATGGACTTTGTATTTTTGAATTTGCCTTGAAGTTCAGTATTTTTGTTATACTTGTTTTGTAATATTTTTTTTTGGCGGATGGATATACATACTAAATTGAAATTCATCAGTATACTTATACCATTGAACATGTTTTATATACACTAGCAAACGAATTTTAGTTTTCAACGGTCATCGTGATTTTAACAAGACCTGAAAAGTCTAAATCTAAATACACTAAGTCACGTTTAGAGTCTAAGTGATTTTTCAGATATCTTGTTTTGTAAATTCAATATCGTTCAGCTAACAATCAATCCAGTACTGTTTAGTGGCTTTTCTGACAATCCAGTATGTTAATGTTCTAAACGGGAAATGACAACCACTGACAACATGGACAATGTGAAATTAACACTGAACAGACATTAATTGATTGTAAGGTATTTGTATGAAGAGTAATGAAAGCACGACATTATAAGCAAATAAGTATGAAATTGACTAAACGACTTAACATGACATAACAATGTATCGTTCAGTCTTTTTATAGATTAACAGATTAAACTGATTATTTCAGTTTAACATTGATTTATCGCTTACGGAATGACTGTAGCGGGTTATTCAAAAGTGTAAAGGTTATTTCGAATAGACCGAAACAAAATTACAGTCATTTCTAATAAGTCAATTTATATTCCAATTTCAAGGAGAAAATCATGAAAAAACGTTGATGACGTTATGATCACATATCAAAGTTATGTCTTTTGGCTGATAGCATCTAAAATCAAATTATTGATAACTAAGATTGATGCCTTTACATTGTCTACAGTTTTTGGAAGAACCCTCCATATCGACTTGTTTATTACGAGTCTCCCTTCTTGAAACAACTTCGAAAAAGAAACAAATTGAAGTGTCTTGTTTTTAATCGACAATAATGGGAAACATATTATGGTCGGGTTGTTGTCTCTTTGACACATTCCCCATTTCCATTCTCAATTTTATGAAACTTCGTTTTATCAAAAATGCATATTACTAGTATCAAAAGTATGTTTCATTTATTTTAGGACAGAGTCTAAACGATTATAAACGTGAAATTGACACGTTGACTTAATCATAGGTGTTTTTTTAAATTATGAAATTTAGGATGTCATAATACAAAATCTAATACTTGGCAGAACATATGACATACGTTAACGACATTAAAAAATATATTTTACTGAAAATACTTCTAAATCTTTACCATTATTCTCTCATGAAGCTATACATATCGTGCTTTAGAGTCTCCGTTTAGAGGTAACAAAAATTTCACAAAAAATAAAAAACGATCAAAAGACTAACAACAGTTTACAAACCGCAGCAAACAAGTTTAAGGATGAACACAAACTATCGTTTTAGTCTCAGGAATCGATTAAGGAGTCATGTTGAGGTAACGAACACAAACTTAGAGAACACTCCTAAAGTATCGATACCGTGTGCGATGACAGGACAAGGACATTCTAAAAATTTTCCTGTTATACATGCATCATCCAGTTGAGACACCACTTATGTTATCGACCAATCAGGCAGTGATAGTGACCGTACACCTTATATATATGTATATATAGTGTCGATTTCAGTCGTTCTTATTATAATAAGTCATTGAAGTATTCGATGCATGACTAAATGCTACCTGCTTTCAAACATAATATTTTGTGTTGGGTGTCTTTGAATCTCAAAACAAAAAGCGTGTAGAAATCATCAAATTGATTCTAAAAGCATTATCATCCTCCAAATGTCTTCGAATTGAAAGCAAGCAAATTGCATATATCAATATGACACGATAGTAAGTTTCCTTTAAACAGTATGGAAAAAAGGTAAACTATTAAAAACATATGTTTTATTTCATCTAGAGGAGCATGAAGAGAGTGCAGACTTTTATAACATAGGAAATGGTACGTAAAACATATCGAAATGTAAAAATTAGAAACATTTAACGTTTGACTTTAAGTTTGAAATATGATTCTCATGGAAACCATTAAAGAAACATTTGTTCCATGCAAGTTCATTTATCCTGCATGTATGGTACGAATTTCATTTAAATATTTTTATTATCAATAGGATATTTTATGCATATGATGTTATCAGATAATAATTGAGAGAAAAATATACCTTCGAGCTATTGATGTATAGTATTGAACGATCCAGACCAACAATATAATTCCGATGTCTATATTAAGAAATTATGAAATTATTAAATAAGACTCAAACACCTTCAGGCATACTGGATTTAAATTATCTCGAAATGCCCATTTAAGTCATATTCCCTACATATTTTTTTTTCTGGTTCTTAAGGATGTTTGTTACTCTGTTTCAAATTAACACTTTTTTTTCAAAAAATGTTATAAATTAAAAAAAGCAGAAAAAATGAGGGGTCCCTGTGCTTGTTTTCAAGATATAAAACCATTGAAAATTTGGCGGGAAATGATTCCCTCTAGATTTTTCATACATTTATCATTGGCACCGTTTTTATTTAAAAAAAAAACTAAGAATAATTAGCAAGGATTTTATAAGATTTTTAAAGATGGCATTTTTAACTATATGTAAACACATTATGTTGAGAAAGTAGGGGTAAGCGGGCAAAATGTTTGATGGCACTACATGGATAAAATCGGAGGATTCCGAATATTTGGCATAAATTCAAAAACAAGAGGAGGAAACATCCTTAAACATCTTAGACATTTGAAGTTGAACATTTTTGTCATTGCGTTCCTTACACGACAATTAACTGTAATCATGATAATGTGTATATTTTAGTAATTGTTTGTTATCCTTCAATGTCCTTTGAAGTGAAAATATGTTAAATATCTCTTTGTGATATATTTGTAATATATTTTATTTGCAAACTTTTTGCAGTTGGGGATGGAGACACATCATTGTAATGTGAAAAGTAAGATTGAGATGTAGCCAAGCGAAGTTTAAAAACCTATTGCGGCGTGATTTGCGATGATTATCATTTTTATAGTGAAATATGTGTCATAAGTTGATGACGGTACGATTCATTCTATATACTCATGTATCATATATATAACAACTGGATATAACAGTCAGATGTGTGGAATTAAAAAGACCAGCTTGAAATCTTGGAAGTCAACACCAGAATGAATTCTAACATCATTTGTCTTGACATTGTGCTTTGAATTGATTGTTTATTAGAATTTATTATGTCATTTGATTTTTGTGTTGTTCGATTGTAGTTTCATTTGGTCAAATCAACCATGAATACATGCATGGCATACTTACACTTTCGTTTACTTATAAGATATACATTGTTTTTGGATATTATTAGTTTGCACATATATTTTGTATCATTAACCTCATATTGCACTGTGTGATTTTGAAATAGAATCAATCCCTGTAGCAGTAATGTACAGAAAATGCTCAGGATGATACATATGCTGAAATATCTAATTTCGAAAAGGTATGGTATCGCTTTATTGACATAAGATTAGTTGTCCAACAGGCAGATATTTATTTTATTTCCATTATATCACAATTTTGTATTTTATACTGATAGATGTTTTGAATTAAGCATTAAACTAACAGGAATTATCTATTTTTTTGGAATAATACTCAGAAACCATCAACACCATCAACAACGATTAACACATTATCAATGTAGTCCTATTATGTTAGGAATAAACATTTTGACGTGCTCCCAACCCTCCAATTTCCAATGTATATCATATGTCATTACTAAAAAAACATACATTGAAAATTCTGCAAAGTCCAGCAACCTCGTGTAAAAGGAAGTACAATATTGCAACTACAATTTCTTTTCGCTTCTTCTGGATGCTAGTTAAGGAAGGCACAATTGTTGGTAAAAGTGCCCCTTGAAACAGCTGTCAATCTACATAACACAATATATGCAACGCATAAGTACACAACTTACTTAAAATGTCCGGCAACACCATATCAAGATATTCAAGCAAAGTATCCAAGACATATATACGGAAACATAACCCAATAAAAATAAAATAGACAAATAAGTTGGAAAGATTAATAACTTTGCCTAAATCAAGCAAATGACGTAAAACAAGTTATGGTATATTTCAAAAGAGCTAAATAATTTAAACTTCTATTTTCAAAATCATGTTTTTCATAATTGTTTTTCAAACATAGAATTGTTATCAAAAACTGTTGTGTCAACACGTTGTCATTTAACATATATTTTACACTGTGTTCGCCAAATAGTACAAGTAGACCATATCACATCATTATAAACAATACATGGTCGAAAAAAAACCTGACTTGATACTGATATTTTTGCAATTTAATAATTGGGGCAAATCCAGTTTAAAGTGCGCCATTACTACATGTTTGTCGGTTTTGGATGTGGACGATATACTGTCTATGTTACTTCCTTCAATGTACGTAAGATAGAAAACTTGCCTTTTAACCATGAAAAATACTAGGTCAGTATTCTACCACTTAGATACTTTTGTTTTGTATGACGCACATTTAGGAAATATTGTCGTTATCACCCTTTCCTTTTTTAACCGAAACAATTTGAAATATTACGCGAAATTATGGATATTTAAAAGTCCTTGACTGTGAAGAATATATGTGCTCGAGTAAATTTCGTTTCATTGCTTTAATATCGATGAAAAGTATTGATTGTGTCAATCTTTAGTTTATATGATATTGGTAAAGGAGACCTAAAGCTGTGTTTATATAACTAAGAAGATGTGGTATGAGTGCCAATGAGAAAACTCTCCATCCAAGTCACAATGTATAAAAGGTAAACAATTAAAGATCAAAGTACGGCCTTCAACAAAGAACAGTATGCTATAAAGTGCTCCAAAATAACTAGTGTAAAACAATTCAAACAGGAAAACCAACGGTCTAATCTACATAAACTTTGTTTACAAATATTACGCTGCTACTATGCCCTTATCAGAAAATTTCAAGAATAACTTACTGTATTCTACAATGCCTCAAATTTAATTTTTTTTTCTGATACTATGCTCACCGTAAAACTCAAAAAAAAAATCAGGTACTTGTTGACTGGCGTATCCATCATCCTCCTTTTCATAAATGTCGTATTATTTCTTGTTTGACAAAAATTAAAACAACAAAAATACCGAACTCCGAGGAAAATTCAAAACGGAAAGTCCCGAATCCAAAAAGATCACTTAATTTTTCCTTTAATGATTTAAGTTGAAATATATGTTGTTATTTGACATTTAACCTCTTCTTAAGGCAAATTGAACAATATATATATATATATATATATATATCATGTATATAGGGGAATAACTTTAACAAATAAAAGGTAAATCCAGTAGCAAGTACAATTTCTCGTTGATAAAAAGATCACTTAATTTTTCCTTTAATGATTTAAGTTGATATATATGTAGTTATTTGACATCTGACCTCTTCTTAATGCATATTGAACAATATATATATAAAGGGAAATAACTTTAACCAAAAAAAGTAAATACAGTAACAAGGATAACGAAGCACACCAAACATGTTTATCTTTTTATTTGTAACTTTTCATATTTTTGGAGGCTGTTAAAATAAATATCCTGGTTTAATATTTCTTAATCTAAAAAACAAATAGTCTGAACAGATTTGAAAGTTTTAATAAAAAAACAGTGAGCAATCAAACATTTACTTTGCGTTGGTCCATCAATAAAATTCGTGGAAGTGGCAAAAATAATTCAATTGATTGAACAAAAACGGATATATTGCATTTGATCTTTTTAAACATTTTGCCGTTAATCGTGTATGATAGGTCTATAATCCATCAAAGGAAAATAGATCCGTTTAATATTGACGCATCCGCACTGTCGTCTATCATGACTGTGTTTTTGTCTATATTCAAAATAAATTAATAAAGCATTGTTCCTGCTTTTTTGTTGATCATTTGATAAAATTCAATATATGAATGATGTTTATATCAACATAAAATGTTGTTTTTTTTCATATGCCTTATACTCTATCTAAGTGATAATGGTGAAAGTTTAGAAGGTCTACATGTTTTTGAAGACAGAGAGAGGTCAGGTTTTTTAATTATCAATAAGATATATCAATCTTATCATTTATAATGAATATGCCATTCCAAATATCAGGTACACGTTCATCCATATGGTTGTAATGATGCTGTCAATGTTTTACCTGATTTACTTATTTCATTGATTATTTTTGTAGTAATTTTTTTCACAGTTAACAATTATGTAGAGTATACATCTATCAGGTAGCATCGCAACATCGACCATAAACTGTATGAATTCGTGAAGAAACACACTTTCTTTCAAATTAAAGTACCCTTTTCATGTAGAAAAATATCTTTCAACATGAACATATCAGGAAGGTCCCAAATGTAGAGATCCCAAACTCATCATTTGAAACTATCACCAATTAATCAATAATTATATTAAAAGACTGAAAAATAAAATCAAAGGTTGAGCCATTTTCAGATCCGTTCGGTCTATTTTCAGACTGTGAAATATTTTTTCATTATTTGTATACTTCGACAGCATACTGAATTGTCTTAAAAGTTTTCAGTTGATGTGAAGATCAAAATGACCGTTCAAGACTTAAAACTCATCTACTAGTGCAAAACTTTAAAATTGGATTACTGTGAGGAAAAAGTCCGTATTCAAGAACAACAAAGTTGTGAAATGTCTATTATCTCTTAAAGATTAATATGTTGTCTTGCCTGTATAAAAAAAAAGCTTCAAACACTATTGTTGTGTCTGTAAATCTGATGACTACGAGTGTCTGAAAGAATAAGGTATACATTGACAATCGGGTAATCCAACTGAGAAACAAATAACTTTTGATAAGGATGATATCATCAATCACAATTCTTCATAATCTAATTTAATATTCCATTATAAATATGAATAAATACAGATCGTCTACATGTTTTACCATAGACATTTCACTTACTGTGAAACTGTTAATATGCTAGTGATTTTAACCAATTATTCTTTAGAACCTCTGAAAATTAGATCTTGATCATTCTCTGAAATAGATTCTATAAAAAACCTTATCTTGTCATCCTTCACATCACTATACCACATAAAAATTGAAAACTGGTCTACGAAAGATCCACAAAACTTTTCGTCATCAAAAGATTACCATACGCTACTAATGTTTGTTTTAGGATGCAATTCAGCATATGTTATTCAAATGACATCGACGAATAAGTCATCAGTATTAAGTTTTTTTCAGCGATGGCTTACCTGTATTTGTTGAATTAAAAGGTATATTTTCATTCAATTTGTCTCGTTTTCTATGGAAACCAACTGCCAATGTGTCCTTTGTTTTTATATGAGTCGGAGGTCGTCCAGACACATAAAAATAATTTAATTGTCAGTTCGTTATCGAGTTATGAATTTGACTATCCCTTTGTAATCTACCGTCTCTTTTTTAATAAAAATTAACAAGAACTTTTTTATGTATACATAATTACGGCTGCTTTGTCTTATGTCACGTTAACGTATTATGTCTGTTTGGGTTGAACACACTTACTTTTTGTCATTTTAGAAAGAGTATTATCACATGTTACACAAGTTGAAAGTTAGCTGCCAACTTAGGTTCACCCTATAATTTTTGATAGAAAATATCGGTACGAAGGAATATGAAAGTTGGTTTTTCCCGTTGTTCCGTTTGTTGATATCATTAAACGTTTGGTTTTGTCAAAGTTTACGGACTCTTCTTTTTTTAATTACCTTTGAATTTGGTAATTTTGTTATTACATTTTTCACAAGTCTACACATACTAAAACATATTTGGTGAAATTGTTTATATACATGTTTTCGACTCTTGAATACTTTCCGAGACCTTTAAATGACGGAATTTGTTCTGTGTTGTTATCGTGATACTGCCTTAAAGAGTTTTTCCCGCATTTCGTTATAACATAATTGTTCGAGAAAACCTATTCATTTATTAACGCGTTATATAGTTTCCACTCCTATTATTAAAGTATATTATGCCATAGGATCATAAGAACAATTGCATAATGTATATCAAAGCAAGACATGATCCAATATTTGTAATCATATAAAGGATCTGGATAAACTATTACATTTCATTGTATTCAGAAAACCAAGAAACATGATGTTTTGAAAGCTTTAGAAAAAACATATGGCTTTTGAGAAAATAATTTTTTCAACATGGTAATAAAATTCATTGTTTATTTCCAGGAAATGTACAAATATCCTATCAAAACTAATGTGAATGGGCTCTCCTTTTTGAAATTACCTTTGAATTTGGTATGTTTGTTATTTCATTTTTCACAAGCCTAGACATAACAAAACATAATGGGGACATTGTTTATATATATCTTTTGATTCTTAAATATTTTCCAAAAGCGTTATCATATAAATTATCTAGATAAACTACTATACATCATTGTTTATTCCGAAAACCCAGAAACATGATTTTTTGAAAGCTTTAAAAAACAAAATACGGCTTTTCAGGAAATATTTTTTTCAACATGGAAATGTGATTCATCGTATATTTCCAGGAAATATACAAATATCCTGCCAAATCTAAATTTATTTCGTAATATTCACCTTTTAACCATTTCGTTTTTGTT